CAATCAATTCAATTCACCCCAATTTAATCAGTTTTAGGTCCCCGTATAATGACCTTAATTGATAAGTATATTTTATAATAATAATTTCCAATCCAAATATTCATTTTTGTTGTTTTTAAATGAATTGTATATGACAAATTAATAGCTACTATACTGCATATGAATACAACTGAAAATTGCGTACGAGTTAGTAAAAATCGGGTACGAATTGGTTGAGTACGAGTTGACACGGGTATGAGTTGACATTGATCCCGGAGAAACACGACCGGTTCCACTTGTTGAGCAGGAATTGCTACCCTTCTGCAGCACCCCCGAATTTTTGGTTGAGTTCATGATGCACAGCCTTTAGTTTTCTATGTATTTTTATGTTGACTTGTTCATCTTTCGTCGTTTTTCGTTTTTTATTTTGGCATTGTCAGTTTTTCTTATACTTTTTGAATTTTGAATGTCCCCTTGATATCTTCCGCCCCTTTTCAACGTCATCTGGTCTCTGATGGATAATTGGCAATCATACAACATCTCCATATTTTCTATTAACTGGATCCATCGTATCCTTTATTTCCAGGTTATAACAGATTTATCAAAGATTCGTCATCATAGTCAATAAACTTGGACATTGATGCTGATTGGTTGTATTGCTGATGTCATTTCTACACAGTAATCTCGTCTTTATACAGTTATATTACTAATATTTTAATCATTTAGGATGTCAAATTATTGTGGAATTGCTAGAATTGTTTAAATCAAAATTAATGAACATAACATTTCTTCAATAAGTGCTTTTGTGGGTTAAACTTCATCAGGAACTCCCAAATCCAAAACTTGAAAGCCAAAGATGCATATGTACTTAAAAACATGAGGAGCTTTGTGACCAAACATAATGTAGAAGGAATAGCCAAATCAATCTGAGGTCAACTTTGTCTGCGCGAGTTTGAACCTTAGTGTAAATTTCTAAATTTATGAACAAATAATTTCAAAGAGAATCAAATACATAATCGATCCTAAGGGGGATCTTTAAAGAGTAACGTATTTGGCAGATGACCACACCATAATGCGGCTTGAATAGCACAAAAAGTAAAACCCAATCATTATCTTATAATTTGAAATCATAGCATATATAGAAATTCTGACAGGACTAGAATGCTTAGAATGTAAAGTTCTACCACTGGTCTATTCCTTTCAAAATGACAGATCAGACAAATTTCATCAATATTATAGAGTTGGTTGACCGTTATGGAATAACCGTTTCACAGATGATATCGGATATGTTCCTTATGTCGTAACTACAATACCCTTCCCTTTTCACGAATGTGACTTACCGAATTAGACTATTTACCGGATTTGTAATAACATAAGCAACTCGACGGGTGCCACATGTGGAGCAGGATCTGCTTACCCTTCCGGAGCACCTGAGATCACCCCCAGTTTTTGGTGGGGTTCGTGTTGCTTAGTCTTTAGTTTTCTATGTTGTGTCATCTGTACTATTATTTGTCTGTTTGTCTTTTTATTTTTGGCCATGACGTTGTCAGTTTGTTTTCGATCTATGAGTTTGACTGTCCCTCTGGTATCTTTCGTCCCTCTTTTATAGCGTTGTCCTGTAAAACCGGTTTTCTGCGTAGTGTTTTGTAGACTGTTGTTTGCCTTTTTGTAATTTGTTTTTGTCATGGTGTTTTATTTAAACTCGTTATGTTATCAAAATTCTCTACCATACCAAATATAAAATGGGTATATGCTCCACACCATCAGTTGACTACTTTTTAGAGTAGTTGCAACAGAAAATAGTTTCACTAAGTTAAGCGTGATATGGAATATCATGACAACAGTAGTAGTGCAGGGTAAATGAATTAATCAAATTTATCTGACACAGTCTTTTGTCTGTTAATATGATGTGTTTTCCCTCAAACTACCCTTCGAATCAGGCTCAATGTAGCATTTTTATTGTTGTTGATGGAAAGTTGGGTAGAATGCTTACAGAATTGGGCTTAAAAAGGTAGGTATTTTGTGATTTCAACTACTAGTCTATAGATTTCGCCAAATATCCAAAAATGGATACAGTTATCATCTTATGGAAATAAATACTTCATGAGTCAACCAATGGTTTGGTTAATCGGATTTTTTGTAGATCTTATATGGCTGGAACTTTTTGGTGTTAACAGTTGGTCTACCTATATATAATTTTATCGAGATAAATTACAAACTTATAAAAGTTGTTGTTTAATGTCAATTACGCCTACTGAAACGTATCTACAATAGTTTTTGGAATAATTGACAAAAGCACAAAAAAAAATCAGAAAGCTTTATCGTTAAGAACAATACAACTAAATGGGTCATCCATTTGTTTTTGGTCATATCGGCATTATTGTACATTTTGTATGGCTGATCATCTTTGCTGTTAAGAATTTTTACCTATATACCTATTTATGGGATACTGGCGAAAAAACATGATTTTTTTTTCTCCCCTACGACGAAAGTCGTAGGATGCGATACATAAGGATAACTATCCGGCTGCGGCGATGGCGTAAATTATTTGTATAAAACTTTATATTCAAAAGGTAGAAGACATGGGTTTTTAATACCTTGTATGTATATGCCTTATGTTAGTAGTTACGAATTTTACATTTGTCAGATGTCCATTGTCTTTGACTTCATTTTCATGGTTCAACGACTACTTGAAAACAAAATATAGCTTTTTCTTTGTCCTTTGAAATACTCACTTATAATGAGTAATAGGACATTTATATTTCGTATATAGGATCCTTGCAAGATCTGCAGGTCCTTCAGACAGGGTTCACCTGACCTCATTTCATGGATCAACAGTGATCAAGATTAAGTTTCGTGGTCAAATTCCCTATCTCAGATACTGTAACCATAGGTTAACTGTATTTGGTGTATGGGATGATTGTAAGGGGCAAATGCCCGACTCGCAGTTTCCAACTGACCTTAACCTCATTTTCATGGTTCATTGGCCAGTGTTTAGTTTTTGTTTGGTTAGTTTCCCATATACTATAAGCAATAGAGCAACTTTATTTGGTGGATAGAAAGATTATAAGATGAACATGTCTGTCTGGCAGTATTCATCTGACCTTGACCTGATTTTAATGGTTTATTGGTCAATGTTGAGTTTTTGTTATTTTATTTGTTTCTCGAATACTATATGCAGTAAAGCAGGCGAAACAATTCAGCGTGTGCACACTTGTTTTTATGATCCCGCCGTTGCGGAGGAGGCATTAGGTTATTCCCCTGTCCGTCCAACCGTACGTCCCAAAGTTGTTTCCCGTTCTCTAATTTTAGTTTGCCTCAACCAAATGCCTTTAAACTTATACACAATGCTTATAACCACAAAACACAGATCAATTGTGAATTTTGATGGCGTCACCTAAACTATTATAGAATTATGGCCATTTACAAATAGGAAAACTTTAGTTTGCCTCAACCATATGTTATGAAACTTGTACACAATGCTTATTAGCACAAAATGCAGACCAAGTTTGAATTTTGGTGCTGTCACTTTTACTGTTCTAGAGTTATGCTCCTTTACAAATGAACGTATAGCGGAATTATTCGTTTCCGTTTGCCTCAACCAAATATTATGAAACTAGCACACACTACTTATTACCACAAAACTCAGATCAAATACAAATTTGGGTAGCGTCACTTATACTGTTCTTTAGTAATGACCCTTTATAACTTTATATGATATATGCAAGCTGGGGTATCATCTGTGTCCAATGGACACATTCCCCATTTTTTTTTAATCGTCATTTAATGCTTATCGCATCTTAGGGAGTAATCCAATGTTTTTGTTCATTCGGTATTATAGATTTTGTATTGCTGATCATTTTATTATTTTTGCTGTTTACAGTTTCAACATGTACAACCTATCTATAATATTTTAAGATATAATCGGCAAGAACTCGAAAAGTAATCAAAAATCGTCATTTGAGGCCAATATCTCTTTGAAGAGTCATTCATTAGTTCCTGTTATTTTGTTGTTTTTTTTCATATTTGTAGATCTTGTATTTATCAATGTTTATGATAATTTTAATTAGTAAAAAATAGTCATTTGTTGCATTTTGGACGTATCTTCATGTATCAATCAAACTTGAAATAAAGTCTGCCTCATATCTTGACTTACACCTAGAAATCAACAATGTGGGTCAGTTATGAACAGAAATTTACAAATGAAGATATTTGTGTGCTTTCAATTTCTATGTAGCAACATTCCAGCAGCTTCTGCATATGCAATATATATCTCCCAATTAATGCAATATTTCAGAGCTTGTGTTTCATATCTTAATTTACTTCATAGAGGGTTTTTACTCACAAGGAAGCAATTAAAGCAAATGATCTAAATGGTGAAAGTTTTACTGGAAGCTATCACAAGTAAGGTGATGGTAAAATAATATTTATCCTACATATAACCACGACTATGTTCTATTTGTTATAACAACAACGTTGTGCTCTTTTCCCCGATTCTGAAATCAACAAATAAGACGTATTACCAAATGTGTATTTACCAAGAGCAACATGACGGGAGCCACTATTTGAGAAAAATCTGCTTACCATTTCGGAGCACCAGAGAGCATCCCATGTTTTGGTCTGGTTCGCGTTGCTAAATTTTTAGTTTGTTTTATGTAGTGTTTTGTGGACTTCTCTGTCTTTTCGCCGTCATTCGCTATTTTGTCAAGGCGTTGTCAGCTTATTTCGAATTCGGCGGTTTGAATATCTAGTATCTTTCGCATAATTTTAGGGAAAGTTATTTGTATAGGAGTCGTTCAATGGTGGTGCTCTTTTTTGCATTGATGTAGATTTTGTAATGCTGACTAATAAACTCATCATAGATACCAGGATTGAAATTTTATATGTACGCCAGACGAGCGTTTCGTCTACAAAAGACTCATCAGTGACGCTCGAATCAAAAAATATTAAAAAGGCCATATAATATTTGTCTTGTTCAATTGTCATCAATTAAGTTAATTTCACAACTTTTTTCATTACAGGCTATGCATCAATTCGACATCCAACATATGGGTCATATTTGATTAGCGCATTCTTGTATGTTGCTAACAAAAAGTACAAAAAGCATGATGTAGAGAGAATTTTACAACAAGCGAGACGAGAAGTAACTGACAATCCGAGATATAAACCAAAATCTAAGGAGCTTATAGGGACACGTCAAATGATAATAGTAGAGTCCACATCTAGAAAGAGGTTTTTTTTGTAATCTCAATAACTGTAAATTGTAAAGAAAATGTTAAATTATATATTACCCGTACCTCCTATATATAACTATACTATGTTTTTTCTGATTAAGGATTTATAATTTAAAGATCAAATAACAATCCAAAATATACAGACGGATTTTAAAAACGCAACGCTAGATTATTCTGTTTTATTCCCATTTTCAAATTGGCAATTTTTGTAAAATAAATAAATAAACATAAATCTTATTCATTTCCTAATTGTCTGAATAAAAAAGTTTGCAGTCCAAAAGATAAACTGATGACGTCAATGTTAAAGTTCAAATCATGTGGTATGCACTGAAACCCTGCTTTTCCCCATTCCAATGGATGTGTCATCGTCAAGGGGATGACTGCCTGCAACCAACGCTTTAATGATTGTCAGAAAGGTCAACCAATTCTGTTAGGCATGTTTTGAGTTCTGTTTTGTACCTTCTGATTTTGCCTCTTTCCACTGCATTTCAGTGTGTTTTAACAATTTAGTGGTTTAAACTTTAGTGCTTCAAATATATTTCTGCATTCGATTCTTTGGCATTTCAGTATATGGGAAACATTTTTGGCATAAATCTGTCTGCCATGGCATCCGTCGACTTGATTAGCAGTTGCGGCCGTTAACATGTCTCGTAAAATACGTTGCATTATTACATGTTATTGACGTTGTGTTGTAACTACATAATGATCTGGTCATGGATGGTCATCAACAAATCCCGTCTGCCTGTACCGTTGTTGTAAGGACAGTAAAAAGAGTTTCTGACGTGAAATTGTCACGTATTCATGTCTGCAATATTCTTATGGCCTGATTCAGATTTTCATTGCTTAGTCTCGGCAATATGAAGGTGCAACATTGTTTTAAGAATTCAAGTGGTATGGATTGAAAGAATTGTTTCACGAAAAGATTATCCTTAAAAAAATCATTTATGGGTTGCAAATTTTTGCTTTAAGGAATTCGTGCGACTTCAACAATCCGGTATGTTCAATAACCTCAGGTAAGTCACGTATTGAATATTTCTAACCATAAATAAGTATGGTGAGCATGAATGTAATACTATGAGGATCAATCATGATTTGGTAAAAAAAAATTCACCAAAATGTGTGTTGCGTTTCTAAAGTCTGTCAGTATATCTGACTATGGTAAAGAAAAATATGTTCATATCACTCCAGCAAAACTACTGATTCGCAGCTTTAGAATGTCTGTGTTTAAATACTTCTTCTTTTTTTCAATTTGATATTATTCGATATCGACGAAACAATATAAAGTTGAATAGTTTAGATATTATTCAGTCCTTATTTATTATATGACGCACTGTTATAGGGGAATATCTAAACATAAAAGTATAATATCAAACTCAGTGCACATTAAATGTTTTAGTCTTATTAGGAAACCAGACTCAGTATTTCTCAAGTAATGAGGTTGATACACAAACATATAGTAACAAACATAACTCAAATACGAGTTTAAGTTGTGAGACACTCCGTCTGTCTTTCGTCCCCTCCGTTCCTCCGTCACAAGTTTGGTTTGATGATAATTAAAGTACCAATTGACCAAATAATTGGAAATTTTAAAAGAAGGTCAAGGACCCTAAATAAATGTCAACTTTTATTTTTATGATTTTGTCACTTACCGTTTAAACTTTATCATTTTAATAACTTTACTATTTGAATTTTCTTCTTTTTCCATATTATAATGATAATAGAGGCTTGATTGAATCTTTTGAAATTTTACCACAATGTCAACGATCATAAAATATAGGACAAATTCGATTTTGATGTTTTGTTTTATTATTTAGCATTCAAGATTATTGACCCAAGGTTACCTTCAAATTTTATGGGTTTTTTTAATTCCCGATTATAATTAAACCACCTGACCAAATCTTTTGAAATTTTAACACAATGTCATGGATCATACAATAGAGGTCAAATTCGATTTTGACGATTTTGAAATTTACCATTGTTCCCTTAGTTATCTTATAAATTTTAATATTATTTTTCGTTTGCAGATGATTATGAAAGTATTGTTTGACAAATTCATTTTGCATACTAACACAATGTTTTAAAATATAAAATACTGATCACATTCAAATTTAATTTTGATTTTGGCATTAACTGTTAAAGAGTTTTCTATCAACAAGGTTATCCGTGATCAATATATCACCTAATTCTAGTTTGTATAGAAACTGTATATGTGTGTACCAATATTTCATATTTTATATGTATTAAAAGTGTTCATATTTGATCACCAAAATGAATGTGTTACAATTCTTGTCGTGCCTGCGACCAGAATATGAAACATAAATATAGGGATGCTAATCCGGCAAAGGCGTTAAGTATTTTATAATGCTCTATATTTCAAAAGGTATAATATCTGGATGCTTTATTACTTGTATACTGGTGCCTTATGTTACGAAATTTCCGTCTGATATATGTCCATTGTCTAGACCTCCCTTTTATCGTCCAGGACTTCTTAAAACAAATTATATTTGATATATATTATTTCGAGATTTAACTTGTCGGTTAAACAGGGTTTCACTTGACTTTCATGGATCAGTTATGAAGGTAAAAGTTCGTACCTCATACATTATAAGCAATATTTCAACTAAATTTGGTGTTTTGAATAAATGTAAGGTGCAATCTCCGTTTTGAAGGTTTCATCAGACCTTGGCCTCATTTTCATGGTACATTTCTCGAGGTTAAGTTTTTCAGAACCTATATGCAGTATATCAACTTATGGATGGAATAGTTTAACAAATTAATAACTTTCTTATTCTATCCTGGATTTGTACCAAACTTGGACAGAAGCTTGTTTATGATCAAAAACAATTATCTAGAAGGAAATTTTGTAAAAAATTATTTCCTGTTTTTCCGCATATTACTTATAAATGGACTAAGTTTCTTTCCACTTAACATTGCATACAGTCTGCAGTTAAAGTTTTTAAAACATTTATTACATTCATAAACCATCATGGATTTTTACCAAACTTGGACAAAAGCTTGTTACAATCAAACGATAGTATCTAGAGGAAAATATTTAATAGTTGAAAACATAAACAACAGCAAAAGTAGGCGAGACACTGGGTTCCGCGGAACCCTTATGAATTTTCATTGTTCATTATTCAATGTTGAGTTTTCGTGGTAGGTCTGTTTATGCAATACTATAAGCAAAACAGTTTAACCTGGGATAAACTCTGATAATTGGTGGCCAAAACTATATGTTTACCATGATGGAGCTCTATGTACATCATAAGACTTCCTGTGGTTTGATTAATACACAAGGTTTTAGTAGCAATCAAATCACCAGTCAAGGGTAAATCGAACTGCTTATATCATTTTAGTGATACAATTGAATAGCTTACAGGTAATGTGTCCCAGTGTTTTGACCGAATTTTGTGCATTTCAAAATTACCGTTATTTCAACAAGAAAATGAGTATGGGAAATTAATTTGTATCACATTGTAAAATTAAGAATTATTTAATAATTATTCCATACACTGAATAAAAATTAACTTCATTGTTTCTGATACACGAAAATCAGTTTCTAACCTAATTCAATTTTATTGAAAAAACTATTTCAATCAGGCGACTTATTAACGCGTCGAATAGAATTTTTTTTTTCTACAACAATAAATCACTAGAGCGTAAAATCAACAATGTCCTACTTTTCAAGGTCGTTTTGATGAAAAAATGAAGTATACCAGTTCAACAAGAATCAAGGTAAGATTTTTTTAAGAAAATACCAACTGTAAAACATAGTGTTCAAATGCAAACAACAATTAAGTCTAAATATATATTCAGTAGTTAGCTAAAAGCAAAAGTTTAAGTCCGTGTGGAATTTAAAGTCTTATGTACATAAAAAAACAAAAACCACAAATTCTAATATGGATGCGATACTTTTAAGATATGATAGCAGTATTTGTTTAATGTCACTATTAGTAACATTGTATGTTAATAAGCAGTTTTAAGGTCACCGCTAAACGTAAAAATGTTTTTGGTAGCATTTTTTCAATATCTAATCGGTCTTTGAAGCAAAACCAATCAAATATAGGTTTCATCAATATCGTCGTTATTAAATAGCCAACTATCACCATTATTGTTCACATATGTTACATCTATTAAATTTCTTTATGAAACAATACATATCCGATATTCTCCCTACACGAATGAAAGCTTTTTTGATTAATTTTTAATTAACAAGTCATAGAAGTGAAAGGTGTGGTCGGCTCCACAACAGAAGAGGAAGAGAATGAACCCAAACGTATAAATAAAAAACCCACCAAAGAATACAAATGCAAGCAGTGTGAGTTTACCACAAGATGGCCGAGTAGCATCTCTAGGCATAATATATCTCACACTATGGACCTTTTCCAATGTGATGCATGCCCTTCAAAATTCCAGGGCGAATCTCTGTTCAGCTGGTTATGTTCATAGAGATATCGAATATACTATTTTCATACAACCGACTTTTGACTCCGGCTTATATAATTTTTGACGGGTAACCTTTTCTGTGGTAGGACATCCTGATAGCAAGTCAAGTGAGAGCAAGGTTAAGTCAAGCTTTTAATCTGTACAATTTTTGGGGAAAATTAACTGCTTTACATTTTCTTTACACGACAAAATCATCAAAAATTACATCGATTTTATATTTGATTTTATTTTGGTTGCTCTTACTTGACCGAGTACCAGGATGTCCTACCACGGAAAAGGTACCCTGTCGAAAAATTATATAATCCGGAGTCAAATGTCGGTAATATGAAAATAGTATATTGCCAACGGGAAAAAATCTTTGATATCTAATAAGAACTGTTTGTCCTTGTCAACAAGTTTGTCAATTTTAATAATAAATACATCTTCTGTTTGACAACATTGTTCATTCGTGGTATCTGAAGTTTATAGTCTGATGCTGCTCAATTGGATTTTCATAACTTGTTTTAAGTTTTTTATTAGAATGACATGGTATCTTCCCAGTTCGAGACAACCGTAATTGCAAATTTTTCTTTGTTTGAAATAATTTTTTTTCAATTTGAATATTCATTTCCAGGTGTAATTGGGAACCGTATTGAATTAAATTGTTTGTCTGAATTTTTTTTTTTTTTTTATATATATTTATTTCTTTGTCTTTTAGGATATTAGCAGCACAAGCTATGATAGAATCAAATAGGTCGGTAAAATATTTACCGTAGCCACCACTACAGAAGTCTTAAAGTCTGAAAAGACCAATTTTTGTCTCAGTTTGCATGAACAATTACTCGACATTCTCAAAAAGTATGACTTATGTCTTAATTTTTCTTGACAATTTCCAATTTATATTAAATTTGTATGAAATTTACTCGACATATTCTCGACATAATGAATATGGTCTTAAAATGTCTTGACAATTTCTCCACATTTGAATACTGTCTTGAAATTTCTCGACAGATTCTCGACATTTTTTCTTGACATATTCTGAACATTTTTAATTGTGTCTTAATAGTTATCAATGGTACCAGGCTTATAATTTGATACGCCAGACGCTCGTTTCGTCTAAATAAGACTCATCAGTGACGCTCAGATCAAAATAGTTAGAAAGCCAAACAAGTATAAAGTTGAAGAGTATTCTGAGCTTTACAAATCATGACCAATATCATTGAATATACATGATATATCTTTGCTTTATTTCTCTTTATAGAATATACTGTTATTTCAAGTTACACTTATTACAATAAAAACAAAAATTAGGCATGTAAATACTTTTATATTTAAAAATATGGGTATGAAAATATTAACAAATACAAATGTGAGTATGTTGATATAAACCAATTTAAATGTGGATTTGAAAATTTATTCGACAAATGTTGATTTATAAATATTATAAATATTATAATTACAAAATGATGAAATAATTCATACTGTAGACATATTTCATTTTTCATGCATAATATTCAACGTTACCATGGTAAATAAACAATTATTGTACCAAAATTTTGTTTTTTAATTGACAATGCATTATGGTATTCTAATTATTCTAAGTTTATTTTAGCGGTAATAGAAATGAGTATAAACAGCATAAGAAAGTGTTTAAACTGTCAGGAATGTATTGCTACACAATTTAGGCGAAATTTGTACTGTTGAGATAGTGTCGGGACATCTTTAAGACCGTTAAGAATGTGTCGAGATATATTCAGACATCTTTAAGACTGTTAAGAATGTGTCGAGACATATTAAGACATCTTTAAGAATGTCAATAATGTGTCAAGACTTATCGAGACAAGTTCAAGACATTCAAGAATTGGTCGAGACTAATCAAGACACTTATCAGATTGTTAAGTAAGTGTCGAGAAATTTTTAGACAATGTTGATACTGTCAAGACATATGTCAAGAAAAATCAAATACTTATTTAAGACAAATTCAGACTTTGTCAAGAATTTTGACAAAAATTTCAGACAACGAGAGAATGTCAAGTAAAAATTCATGCAAATTCTGACAAAAAATGGTCTTTTCAGACTTTTGGACCTTTGTAGTGCACATTTAAATTCCGCCATGGCATCATCATTGAAAATAGAATTACTCGGTATAGCCATTTAATCAAAAATAATAGACTTAGCAGGTTGTTAACACTGTCAACTATCGATAGGGTAAAACAACATTTTTTCGACATGATTAATACATTTAAGCGTTAATCTTGTTACAGGTACAACATTTTAGTGAGAATTTGCCTATAACATTCAACCTGTCATGAACTATGATTGTGGATTATGTTTCCGGTTTTCTTGACTTACATTGTGACTTGTTATCGTATTTATTTTATATGAGAAAACTATCGCAGTTATATTAGAAAAATATTTCGTTCATAATTTTTTCATATTAAAAATACATCGCTGTTATATTAGAAAAATATCGCATTTAGATTATAAAATATAGCGGCATCATTGAATTATAGGTGATTTTGGTTTGGAAAACAATTGAATTCATCAAAATTGCATTTCACTAATTTTGCTGCATGATATTAATTGAATGTATACATCTTCAAATGATAAATCGTGCATTTATGTTTCATTTAATCAGCATATCGATGTTCTCGTGTTAATACAACTTGCTTGTTATTATATTACACCATTCATGAAAGTTATACAGGCAGACGTTTGTCGTTTTAAATGTTACCCTGTCTTAAGAACAATAGTTATTACTTACCGAGAAATCGTCCTTTCTTCATACAAATGTAAACATTCGTCCGAGAAATCTTCCTTTCTTCATACAAATGTAAACATTCGTCCGAGAAATC